TGGGGGAGGTGGTCTGCGGCAGCGTCGTCAACGTGAGACTCGGAGCTGGTGCTGCGGTGGGGCAGAAAGCCAAAGCTGAAGCCACGGCAGACAAAAGCCTTGACCCCTTCGGTCGACGAGGCTGAAGTCGCCTCGGGACGTTCGGCTCCTTCTTCGTGACGAGCTTGTTAAGCGTATCAATCAGCGTGCCGGTCTTGATCGTAGCGTTCACCGTGGGTCCGTCCCTCACCTTCGGTCGACTGGGTGGCTCAGCAGGTCGCTCCATGACAGCGTCCTCGATGGCCTGCCAGTCCTCTGGCTGCAACTTGATCGCGGGGTGGCCCGCGGCGCTCGCCATGATCTTATGGCTGGAGTTCCCGATGCGGATCTGGCCCTTCCAGAGAGAGATGTCGATCTTGGAAGGCTGTATGAAGTCGCGGCCAATGGAAGGGCGCCTCCGTTGTCGAACCTGTAGGCTTCGCCCTCAGGTGCCTCGAGAATCTGGTCGGCGAGGCCCATCCCGGCGAGGGCGTCCTCGTAGTCGCCGCACCACCTACTGCCCGAAACGCAGAAGAGGCAGGCGGCGCCCACCACGCCGACGCCTTCGCCCGCGGGCTTCCCGTTGCCGATCGCAACGCTCACGTTCGGCAGGCGGTGAATCCGCCGCTCTGAGACGCAGGCCGCAGGTGGCGGCGACACGGGCCCCTGCGGGTGAAGAGAAACTTCCTCGTCTGCGAACTGGACCTGCTCGGCGAGCGCGCCTGGCGCTGCGGGCGACCTCCTCGGCCCCCCCCGCCCACCGCCCTTGGACTTGCCGTCCATGGGCGCGAACCTGCGAGCACCAGGCGTGGGACACGCCTTATCTCCTATCCAGTGCCCGGTCTCGCCGCAGCCCCAGCACTGCGACGTCTCCTCGCGCTGGTCGACCAGGTTCCGAAGCTTAACCGGGCCGCGAGGCGGCGCGGACTCGTTCGACTTGCCGCGGCCCTTCAGGGCCCCTCGGGCTGACCTGATGGCTCCGCCGCGGCGGCCTCGACCTTGGCAGAGCCATCGCCGTCGAACAGCTCGGAGATGTCCACGTTGGAGGACTCGAGCTCGGCGCTGAAGGCCTCGAGCTCCTGACAAACGAGGTCCTGCACATCGGCCTCGCCCTCGTCGTCCTCTTCTTGCTCTTCGTCGCCCTCGTCGGCGGGCTCGTCGACGACGTCAGTAGATCGCCCTCCGCGACTGGAGGAGGCGTTGCTGCGCCAGCCACCACGGGGGCGCGACTGGTTGCTCCGCGACATCGACGGCGGCGGGGCGCGGCGCTCGGAGTTGTGGATGCCCGGAGAACTCTCAACCAGCAGTCCACGGATGCGCTGGTAGCTGTACCGTTCGTCGGGCAGGTTGCCCACGACGCGCTCGCGGCGCTCGGCCGCGAGCCCGGCCTCTCGCAGCAGAAACCACCCCACTACGTCGCCCAGCGCGTTGAGGCCCACCTCGTTCTCACGTAGCTGCCGTCTCGAAGCGGACGAGCCAGTCCGTCATTCGTTCACCTCGACGTCGGCGATGCTGTGTAGATTCGAAAAACTTCTCGAGGGTCTCGCCTTTCTCCACGGGCTTCTGCTGACCCAGGTTTGCCTCCACATGCTGTAAAACATTCTCGATGCCGACCTGATTCCTTTGGCGCTTCTTCTCGTCGGCGTCCTCGATGCGTGCTGCAGCTGCCCGGTGCAGCTGCTCCTCCGTCATATTCAATGCTGATGTTCTAGCTGTCCCGCTGAGCCTAAGCACAAGCTTCGATGCAAGACTCTGTGTGACTGAGAAGTTCTCGCCGAGCTCCCATAGCTTCACATCCTGCTTGTAGTCTCTCCACTTCGGGATCTACGTTCCACGTCGGCATGACTGACTGTCCGAAGTATGAAATACATCCGTCATCGTTGCGAAAAAAAGGAGTCGGAGTAAAGGAAATCGAACTCGGCGGCGTCGCTGACGCTCTGGGAGCACAAGAAATCGAACTCGGCGGCGTCGCTAATGTTCTGAAAATAAGGGAAATCGAACTTGGCGGCTTCGCTGAAGTTCTGGAGGTATATGAAATTTGACTCGGCGGCTTGGCTGAAACTCTGGGAGTATGTGAAATTGAACTCGGCGGGTTCGCTGTGGCTCTGGGAGCATGTGACATGGAACTCGGCGGCTTCGTTGAAGTTCTGGGCGTATGTGAAATTGAACTCGGCGGCTTCGCTGAAGTTCTGAGTGTAGGCGCAGGCGTATGTGCTGGCGTCGCTGACGCTGGCGTGGGAGTTGGCGTTGAAGGCGTAGCAGGCCTTGCTGCTAGCGTCGATGACGCTGGCGTGGGAGTTGGCAGGGTAGGCAGGCGTTGCTGTCGGTGCTATTGTCGCGGACGCTGGCGTATGCGTTGCGCAGCAGCTGGGTGATGATCACCAGGAAAACGCTGGTCTTCGATTCCAATATGGATGATAACGTCGCGGACGTCGTCGTGGTGGGCGGGCACACAGGGCCGAGGATAGCGAGCACAGCTCCAAGCTACCACTGTGATATGGATCGGCGCGCAGCGCCGGGGATACTTTTGCTGTGAGCGCGGCTCGAACAACTGGCGTAGCTCTAAGGCCAAGGGTCCTGAAATGTTTTGTAACCAATACGGCAGCGCAAAGAAAGATGGGAGCAAGCAGCGGGAGAGCGGGGAAAGGGTGAAGAGAGCGGCGAGCCTTCTGGAATCACATCATGATCATCATCATCATCATCATCATCATCATCATCATCAGCATCATCAGCAGCAGCATCATCATCATCATCATCATCATCATCAGCATCGTCATCATCATCATCATCATCATCATCATCATCATCATCATCATCATCATCATAATCATTATCATCATCATCATCATCAGCAGCAGCAGCAGCATCAGCATCATCATCATCAGCAGCATCAGCAGCATCATCAGCATCATCAGCATCATCAGCATCATCAGCATCATCATCATCCTCATCATCCTCATCATCCTCATCATCATCATCATCATCATCATCATCATCATCATCATCATCATCATCATCATCATCATAATCATCGTCATCATCGTCATCATCATCATCATCATCATCGTCGCCTTCCTCATGTTCTATTTGTCTGGCGCAGCGCTTCACACATTTGCGTTCGTAGCAGCTTGAGACTGAGTTTCTTTCGACGCGCCCGACGCCATATGACGTGTGAGTTGTGAGCTGTGGGGGGCGTTGCCAGTGGTGTGGTGGGCTATCGAAGCCCTCCTGAGATTTGCAAAGGAAGGCCTGGTCCCTGCACCGTTCCCTGCAACGTTTTCCAGATCGGACACTCGCAACGGGCAGGGATGACCGCAGGCAAAGATCGCCGCCTCTCTGCCAGCAGCACCTGTGCGTGGGAATGCAAGCGACAAACCCCGGTAATCCTCTGGCCCCATGTGGGGTCGCAGGGCTTCCGCTTGAAACCCTCCGTGCTACCGCCTACGAGGGGACGCGGCGTCAAACAGCAGCACCAACACCAACGCCAACAACAACAACAATCATTTTAAGACTGTTCGCTCCTATCTGCTCACGTGCAAATCATCACGTACATCCCAAATCCTCGGTAACCCGCCCTCGTCAGACTTCGATTGTACCCCCTTGGAGGTATATCTTCCTTACCTGCCACGTGTATTTAATGAAGCCCCTAAAACAAGGGAAGAGAGGACGGGTGGAAGGGGGAGGGAGAAGAATGGAGCACGAGAGAAATTAGCAGGAGGGGGGCAAGGATCAGAAAACAAGTGGTAGAACCAGACGGGCAGATCGAAGGGCATTCGTATACGGGGCCACAAACGGCTACAGCGGGGCCACTGAGGGCAACAAAGGGGCCACGAAGGGCAGCAAGGGGGCCACGAAGGGCGACAGCGGGGCTACGAAGGGCATGCGCATGGGGCCACGACGGGCGCGTGCGAGCGGGGGCTACGAAAGGCATATAATGCGGGGCCGCAAAGGGCAGCGACGGGGCCACTAAGGGCAGCAACGGGGCCACGAAGGGCAGCGAGCGAAGGCGACCGCGGAACCAGTACGGGCAGCGAGCGGCATCGAAGGCGGGCGAAGGGCAGCGAGCGGCGACTGCAGTCATTAACGGGCTGGACGGGCGGGCAGGCCCCGACGGGCGGGTCGAGCTGGCGGGTCGTTGAAGCGTGAGTCCTGCTTGAACCGCCAGGCAATATGTAGCGGGAGCGCGACTGCTGACTGTCGAGGACCCGCATCTGAATAAATTGTAACAGATTGTGGTAAGTTGCGAGAAAGTCCCAAGCGAGAACGCGATTCTGCAATAAACTGTCAGGACATATCAGGCGGGAGCCGCGCTTCGGTGGTAAATCGACAGGAAGTCCCAAGCGAGAGCGCGCTTCTTCAATAAATTGTGAGGAAATCTCAGGCGGGAGCCGCTGTTGCTACTGTAAACCGGAGGTCCCCCCCAGCAGCCCTCGAGCGAAGGCAGCTTCGTAGATCGCAGCCCCCCAGGGATGGCCGGGTCGGATCTGAATCTGCGTAGGACGTCGCTATGTTGGACCCCGCAGCAGCCCTCGAAAGTGGCAACGGTTTCGCAGTTCACAGACCCCCGGCGAAGCAGCAGGCAGAGTAGCAGGCAGATAGGAGGAGAGTGGAGGAGGGAGGCGGGAGACGGAGAAGGTCGCGACCGCAGTGCTCTAAGGAGGTTTTGGAAAAACATAAGCGAGACGCTACAAGATTAGAGAATAGTGTTTTTCCATGCGTGTTGCCAGTCACACGTTTCCATCCCAAAATGCTCACAAATCTCCGGAAGACAATCCCCTGAGCCCCCCGAATTGCCCAAGACGGTTTCGAGAAGACCCCAGAGCGCCAAAAGATAGCCCCAAGATTGCCCAAGATGGCCCGAGTATGGTCCGAGGCCCCGAGGTACCCCCCCAGCGGCCCAATGATGGCCCCATAGCTGATCTAACATAGCCGCAAGATGGCACAGCCTGGGTGGCTGGCGGCGGAGGGCGCAGCCACTCAGCTTACCTGCACGATGCCTCTGCTGCCTGGGCTGCGCTGAAGAGACTTGTGGTCGATAGGATCGTGAGGGTCATCTGGGCGATCAGAAGAAGAGATCCAGATGCCATGTACGCACCTACTGTGGCGGTCAGCGTTATGCCCGTCCGAGCCCACTCCCACCATCCCATTCCACTGACAGCCTGTTTGAGTGTGCTGGACACGAAGCCCGAGTTCCACAACTGCTGAATGATCTCCCAAAGCTTGACTGCGGCGTCCCGAGGAACTCCTGCCGAGTGCGCGAACTCTACGATCGTCTCCACCAGATCTGGAAAGCCAGCCTTGGCGAGTTCGGCACCTAGGCCCACAGGGGGCTCGACCCCCAGCAGCCCCTCGAGGCTGACCCCGCTGAAGCTCAGAAAGAAAGACAGGCCTTTCCAGCTGAAGCTGAGGACGGCGAGCTGACATCCGTCCAGATGGTCGAGCTGCTCTCCGTGCTCCTGGAGCAAGGCCTCCCTCTGCGTCCGTATCCGACGCTGCAGCAGGTCCACCTGTTCCTGGGGCGGCAAGGGAGCGTCCTCCGGGATCGGCTGGCCGCTCGTGGTCAGGTGGAGAAGCACCTCCTCGTGCTCCACCATGAACTCGGCGAACTCGGGAAACATGCCGACCAGCATCGCCAGACCATGCTTGTCCGCCGCCGCTTCGCGAGGCACCGAGTGGAGTGTCCTCAAGCCTCGTCAGTGCAGTCACGGGCCCCAGTGAAGTCCCCGCAGCGACCCCATTGGGCCACGACCCATGGCACGGTGGCAGAATGGGCCGAAGGCCACTAGTATCTGCCGCCCCCTGTTGGCTCGCCACAAGATTCCACCCAGAAAGCCGCGTAAAAACGTCTCCTGTTGCCCAAATCACCTCCAGGACGACCAAGATGGCCCAGATGGCCTCGCCTCAAAGACGGTCCAAAAACGCATCCAAGACGGCCAAAATGGCCCCAAGGTGCACTCAAGACGGCCCAAGATGGCCCCAAACGGCCCAAGAGGGCCGCGAGAGGGCTCCAAGAGGACCTCCAGGAGGCCAAAATCATTGATCCGTAGGTGCTTCAATGATTTTATCGTTCTCGCCTTGACGGACTTTCGGACTTCCGACGCTCCAAGACGGCCCCAGTCCCCCACGATCGCCCCAAGACGCCCCAAGACGTCACAGCGATGGCCCCAAGACCTCAAGGCGCCCCAAGCTGCTCTCAAGACGACCCCAAGACGGCCCAGTAGACCTGGCCCGGCACAGAAACGGAAAGAGCGCTTCAGAAAGAGAAACCGAAATTACTCACACCACCGTTCGTACTGGGAGCCTTTGCGTTGAGAGCTTGTTACGTCACCCCTCGCTCTTGGGAGCCTTGGTGTTCAGAGATTGTTGCGTTGCCTCCCGTTCCTGAGCCTTGGCTGGGCCTTGGTGTCAGGAACTTGTTACGTCACCGCTCTCTGCTGGGAGCCTTGGTCTTATCAGCTTGTTTACGTCACCGTTCGCTCTTGGGAGCCTTGGTGTAAAGAGCTTTTTACGTTACCGATCGCTCTTTATTTGGCGTCTCTGGGCCTTCTTGGGAGTCCTATTGGGGCCCTTTTCGAGCCCTTTTGGAGGCCTCTTGGGAACCTATTGGGGGCCTATTGGGGCTTCTTGGGGGGCTCTGGAGCGAAAGGCTAGACTTGTCGGTTCGTGGCCCCCCCCTTGGGGCCGTCTTGGGGTCCTCTTGGGCCGTCTTGGGCGCCTCTTGGACCGTCTTGGCGCCCTCATGGGCCGTTTTGGGTGCCTCTTGGGAGCCTCTTGGGCCGTCTTGGGGCGGTCTTTGGGGCCTCTTGGACCGTCCTCAACGCCGTGAAAGCCGAAAAGCCTTGTATGCTAAAATTGCATCTTTTCAATAGGAAATCTATTGGGACGCCTCTTGGGGGCCTCTTGGGGGCCTCTTGGGGCTTCTTGGGGGGCGCCTAGGGCCTGCTGAAAGCGTCTTGGGGCGAAAGGCTAATTTAGCCTTTCGGTTCGTGGTCCCCCTCTTGGGGCCGTCTTGGGGCCCTCGTGGGACGTCTTGGGCGCCTCTTGGACCGTCTTGGGGCCCTCTTGGGCCGTTTGGGGGGCCTCTTGGGAGCCTCTTGGGGCGTCTTGGGGCGGTCTTGGGGGCCTCTTGGGCAGTCGTCAACGCCGTGAAAGCCGAAAAGGCGCATATGCTAAAAATATACGTGTTCCAAAAAATCAATGATTCGGGCATCTTGGGGGCCCTCTTGGGGCGCCCCTTAAGCGCCTTTTGGGGGCCTCTTGGGCCGTCTTCGGCGGTCTTGGGCTTGGGCTCTCTTGGAGCGCTCTCGGGCCGTCTTGGGGGGGAACGCTAAAAACATGCAAACACCCCAGGGAAAACCGGAAAACTGCCATTAACGCCCATTCCCTCGCCCTACGCCCCCCCCCCCATCTTCCTCCTCCTCCTCCTCTTCCTCCTCCTCTTCTTCCTCCTCCTCATCCCTCGTCATCGTCCTTGTTCTTAGATGGTTGAGTTGTTGCTGGCTTTCTCCACGATAACCACCCCCTGACGGCCCAAGAGGCCACCGAGACGACCCCAAGAGGGCCCCAAGACGGCCAAGGAGACATCCAAGACGCCCAAGATGGCCTCCAGACGCCCATGAAGTGCCCTAAGAGGGTTCCAAGCTGGCCCCACAAGACTGCTTCCGACGGCGTCAGACGGACCTGGCACGCCCAAGACGCGCCCCCCAAGAGGCCCCAGGAGGCCGCCAAGAGGCCTCCAAGAGGGCACCAGGAGGCGCCCAGAAGGCTTCAAGAGGGGCCCGAAGCTCCCAAGAGTCCTTTTCCTCCTCGTCCTCCTCCTCATCCTCCTCTTGATCCTCCTCCTCCTCCTCCTCCTCCTCCTCCTCCTCCTCCTCCTCCTCCTCCTCCTCCTCCTCCTCCTCCGTCGTCTCATCCCTTAGCCGCCCAGTGGCATGAGTCCCATGTGAAGGAGATTATGTTGGCGTGCTGTGTTGATTCGCTCTGTTAATGCTTTGCTGTGAGCAGCATACGACGGTTCCGTGAACCCTGTAAGCAGCCCACAAGTGAAGGGCTCGAGGCTTTGAATCACCTCGGGCATCGGCTCAAGCCAAATGCTGGAATCCATGTTTCCGCGGAGATTGTGGTGAGGTGGCCAGGCCAACACCTTGGAACCACGCGTTCGCTATAGCGCCACAATTACCTTCTCCTCCTCCTCCTCCTCCTCCTCCTCCTCATCATCATCATCATCATCATCATCATCAGCATCATCATCATCAGCAGCAGCAGCATCCTCATCATCCGTATCATCATCCGTATCATCATCCGTATCATCATCATCATCATCATCATCATCATCATCATCATCATCATCACCACCACCACCACCACCACCACCACCATCATCATCATCATCATCATCATCATCATCATCATCATCATCATCATCATCATCATCAACAGGAGCATCAGCATCATCATCATCAGCATCAGCATCATCATCATCATCATCATCAGCGTCATCAACATCAGCAGCATCATCATCATCATCATCATCATCATGATCATCATCATCATCATCATCATCATCATCATCATCATCATCATCAGCATCATCATCATCATCAGCAGCAGCAGCATTATCATCATCAGCAGCATCATCATCATTATCATCACCATCACCACAACCACCACCGTCATCATCATCAGCAGTATCGTCAGCATCATCATCATCATCATCAGCATCATCCTCATCATCATCAGCGACATCAGATTCCTCCTCCTCATCATCATCAGCATCATCATCAGCATCATCATCAGCATCATCAGCATCATCATCATCATAAACATCATAAACATCAGTCTCATAAGCATCATCTTCATCATCAACATTGTCATCATCGGCATGATCAGCATCATCATCAGCAGCATCATCATTATCGAAACCATAAGCATCGTCATCAGTATCATCATGATCATCATCAGCAGAATCATCATCGTCATCGTCATCGCCATCGTCATCGTCATCATCATATCATCATCATCAGCATCATCACCACCACCACCATCATCAGCATGCTCATCAGCGACATCCTCATCCTCATCATCATCGTCATCATCATATCATCATCAGCAGCATCATCATTATGCGTTCCTCACTCTCGTCCTCTTTATCTTCCTCCTCCTCCAAGGGTTCCCCGACGGGTTCCAACAACGACTGGGGGAGCACGCAGTCCGATAGCGTGGCCGAGCTCTGGCCACAACATTCGGCATAATGATCAGTCGCTTCCAACTCAAGGCAGGGGGCGGTTGTGATTCGCCCTAGACGTCTTCAATAGTCTGTGAACGACACGTTATGGTGAAGGAGCGTGAAGTTCCCCGCGAGCATGTCCGAGTCTTCGATCACGTTGTCGCCGTCCTTGTCTTGGAGGCGGCCAGGGGGTCTGAGCTGCACAAGCCCCGAGAAAATCTGTCAAGAGGGCGAACGAAGGCAAACTCGTTCAAAATCGGTCCCCGGAGCCCTCCCCAGGGTCGAAGCTGACGAGTTTTTCGAGCCGCGCCCAACCGTGGCGACGAGGGGCCCCCCTTCTCCCCCCTGTTCTGGTGGCCGGAGCCAGTGCCGGGCCAGCTCTGTCCCCCAGCTGGCTCCAGGCCTTCCTTGTCCAGCTCTCGGAAGATCTCGGCCCAGCGAGCCGAGTCCAACCGCAGGCCAGCGCCCTTCGCACCCGTCAGCCCGGCCAGGTTGGCGTCGCTGAGGCGCTCCAGCGCGAGGAACTCCGGCCTGGCGGAGCCCTGGCATGGATCGGCGGCGAGCCCAGGGGAGAAGGCAGCCCCCCTCGAGTCGTGACAAATCACGACGGAAAGTCTTTTACGATATTCACCCACGGGGGGCCCTCGCCAGGCCCTGGCACCGTCAAACAACCAATTCAGTATGAAAGATCTGTTATGACTCGGCTCCCTCCCGTGGCCGTTCGGGACGACCCAAGCCCCCCAGGAACGCTCTCGGCCAGGCGCAACTGCTGGAACGCATCCCGAGGACGGAAAACCGCCAAGAGCCAATGAGAATGCCCGGGCTTCCTCGAGACGTTGGAACTCTGGGAGCGGCGCGGCCCGAGGCACGTGCGCGGCCCAAGGGGGACCATGAGATCCGAGGCGCGCTGAGATCCTGGACGATGTCATGGCCCCGCGGGGATGTCTGGACTTAAGTCGGGCCTGTCCCTCTACAGGGGGAGTACTCAAAAATAGTCGAAGAATAATCAGGGGACGATTTTTTGACTATTGTTGAGCATTTTTGCACACTTTTGGAGTATTTTTGATTTCTCCTCCAAAATCGGCCTGAAGGGGGACAGGCCCGACTTAAGTCTGGACCCCGACGCACGCCAGCCCTGGACCCCCTCGACCCCTTCCTCCCCCGGGGCCATCTTTTGGCCCCGGGTGCCTCAGCGGATGGTCCGGGAAGCCAAGAAATGTCCCATGGGGAAGCCAACGACGAGGAAGACCGAATGCGCTGAAGAGGAAGACGACGAGTAATAAACAAAATTTTAACACAGACAAAAAAAAGGGAGGTCGGTGTCTGCTTTCCCCTATGTTTTTGCACGCCCGAAAGAGGGAACGGAAAGGACGGGGGGGGAGGCGACGCCCAGCAGAAAAGGATGCCCCAATCCCTACCTTCCTCATCCTTTCATTTTTGCATTCGGACCTGATGCGGGGGAAGAATCCGCACGGTCCGAATCCTCAGGCCGCCAATACCCCCCCACACACCTCGCCCCCGTAACGGGCGGCGCCACACCACGAGGGAAGAGGACGGGGAGGATGTGTGAGCCCAGACCCCTGCGGCTACGGAGTGATCCAGGGAGGGTTTCCAGTATCTTCGTCCCGGAGGCGTCCCTACCTTCCTCTCTCTTTCATTTTCGCACTCGGTCTGGATGTGGGGGAAGAATCCGCGCGGCACGAATCCCCAGGCCGCGAACCCCCCCCCCAATCCAGTGGAGGTCGGCCTTGATGAATGTCCATATTCTCGCGGGTAGTTGCTCTGCGGGCGTGGCTGGAATCGCCACTTTCCGAGCCCTCCGTCAGCCCACCTGTCCCAAACAATGTCTGCACTGAGAGGCCCCTATCACCCCGGCTCCCCGGCCCGAGCAACAGTCTGGAGCCCAAGCGCTGGCGCCATGGCTCGTTGAGGGTAGCCGTGTGGCAAAGTAAGCGGTTGTCTGCGTATGCCGCTCTGCCGGCCTGACAGACGCACGTCCTCCCCGGCGGGGTTGTGTAGGAGGCTTGACGAAGATATGGTGACGACGCGGCGACGATAAACCCCGCGACCCCGCCCGCAGACAAGTTTTCAAAAGATCCATGCGCGGGCACCGACGCGCACGCCAGCCTCTGTTGGCCATCTACCAGGGTTCTCTTTCTCGGAGCCTGTGCTGGCGTCTGCCAAAGGAATCGTGGAAACCCATGGAGTCCTCGACCAAGTCGTCGGGGATTTTGAAGCTCACGTCCTCGAGCGCGCTGGCCACCCAGTTCTGGCCAGAATCCCAAGAACACCGGGTTGATGAGGTCGCCCGCCTGAGCGGTCAGCTCCCTGGGGGCCCATTCGGCGATCAGCTGTGCCCCCTCTATTCTCTAGCTGTGTCGCCAGCTCCATGGCAAGAAATCAAATAAGAAAAAACCTCATGAACATCAGTTTCTCCGCGACCCTGCTGGACACCTGGGAATCCGTGAAACACGACGCCACGCCACCTTTCCCAGTCGATCGCGCCTTCCGGCGCGAAGACGATAATAGCAACTCTCGACACCAGAAGCTCCAATGCTGCGATGGACGCGAACAGGCCCCATTCGCGAAGACACACAGATTTGTATGCAGGTCGAACTCGATGGCAAAACGCTTGGTCTCAAATGTGATCGGGTTGCCTCTTGCGTTCGACGAGGCTCTGGTTTCCCAACCAGCCACAGAGACAACTCCGCCAGATGCCTTCGCGTGTACCTTGAAGAGAGCCCCATCCTGGCACTTCCCGGCGACTGGGATGGAGCTGTGGCGGCCGAGCCCCCCCAACAACTTCAGGATGTTCGCGACAAGAAGTGGGAGTCGAACCACCGCCGAGATGCAGAGCAAAACTGCGAATTTGCAAGGCTTTCCCAGAAAATGTTGGTCCTAATCGATGGCCCCGTAAACGAAACCCATTATTCCCAGGGCTTCCTCGAACTCTCGCATACAGACCACTCCGTCACTCAGAACCTTGTCGTACCATGCCAAACCCCGCGTGTCCGACGCTCGGATATGCCCAGGAGCAACGCTTCCCCGTGGGCGTCGATCTCATAACCGAACCAAGTCACCTCCAGACCTCCGCCACCCTCCTTCCAGCTCAGAGGCAAACCCAAAACCTGGAGGTTCAACGCCAAACACATCGGGGCACAGGCGAACTGGGTGCCCTGCGCCATGGCCCGCCAATCGTCGGCATATAGAGACAGCCACGAGCGACGGCCTCCTGCGAGCATCCTGATGGCCATCTGGCAGATCGCGGCGGCGAGCCGGCCCCATCAATGCGCAGTAGAGCTGACCCCGAAAGTGCCGACCGCATTCACGCCCACGTCGCCGTCCACTGACGCTCGGCAGCATTGGAACGCCAAGTCCTCTTCCCTGACTGGGACTGTGTTCTGGGTATCGTTGAAATCCAGTTCACCTGCGCCGCCCTGAAAAATTGCTCGGTGGCCCGGGCTCGTGGGACAGGATAGCGCTCCTGACACTGACGCGTGGTTTGACATCGATGCCGCACGCGCCGTCGTGGAGCACCCTGATGGCGACCGTTCCGTCGTCGGCATGGTCTTCCACCTGGGCACCCAGCGAAACAATCGCGAGCATCTTTCCGAATCTGCGCCTGGCTACTTCGAATGGGATCTCGAAAGCGCGGCCATACGCGACCATCTCGTAAAAGCAAGATCTACAGCTCCCTGGAACGCTCGGCTGCCGAGTCGCAATTCGCGCGCCCCTCGGCCGCGAACTGGCCCCAGTCTACCTCGCGGGCGACCTCCTCGCGCCGATACTGGGACGGCCACGCGATACTATCCCGGCACACCACTGGCGCTCTGGAGAGAACGTGGCCCACGCCAACTGGCACTCCAAAGGCATAAGTGTCCATCACCTCGTTCACAGGGATCGGCTGCAATCGCAATGAGACACTGGAGACATCTGAGCTGGACAGGTTGGTCCCTGTCGCGTTCGCGAATTCTAACACGGAACCTCCCCGACTCAACGATCTCCCAGATCTCGGCCCTTGCGGGCGCGACCACGCCATGCTGTCCTCGCACAGGGGGCATCTGAGCCTGACACCAGTTCTCTCAATTACGAAATGGAGCCCTGGCTTCACTGCTGAGCGGCCTTGCCCAGCGCCTGCTCGCTCGCCATTTTCACCACCAAGACCCCCCCGCCGGGGCAGGTCGGGACTCAGGGGGCACACGGCCCCACGGCCAGAGCCCGCCGCCGCCAGCCACTGCGACGTGCCCTGACGAACGCCGAATCGACGAAGGAGCTGGGCCAGCGCAGGACGGACCCGACTGGGGGTTCTGAGTCCGCCCCTTCCCTTCCCCTCGTCGCCCTGCCCCTTCGCGGACCGCAGCGCCGCCAGGAATATCGCAAGCGGGGTGCCTGTTGAGCGCGCAGCAGCCCTCACGCCAGCGACACTGGCAGAATCTTTGCGCCTCGAACTTCCCCAAACACGCCCCTCGTAGAGGCGGCCTGGCTCGGATGATCCCGCCAATGCTTGGATATCTGAACAGCCGCGGCGCGGTCACGGGCAGCTCCGCGATTATCCGCCATCCAGTTGGCGAAATGCGAGCGCGGCACACCCTGCTTGACATGCGATCCGCCGCAATAAAAGACGCTAGGATCTCACGCATCCTCGACGCCATCGGCACGCGCCCGCCTAGGTATCACGAGGCATGCTCCGTTTGTCCGAACGCCGTCGTCGCCCATCGCCGCCACGGTGGCGCGGTGTTCTGGGGGAGGCGCTGGATCGGTGGACCCCCCGGCCCCCTGGCGGCCTTTGTCGGAATTCCCACTCGCAGAAGTGCGGGAAGGATGTCGCCCGGCCTGACCACCAGCGCCGAAAGAGACCAGCCACCATGCATGAAAACAATCCACTTCCACATCTCACGTGGGCACGCAATCATTTCCATTGTCTTGAAACGGCGGTGCACCTCATCTGCGGGCAAAGGGCCTCGCCAACGGAAATGTCGCCACCGGCCCTGCGAGCCCTTCTGCATCAAGAACATCAGCCGCCCCTTGCACAAAGAAAGCTGCGTCATAGACCTCCAAGCTGTCTGCGATGATGCCAGCCTGCATAAGGCGCTCGGCACACGCCACCGCTCCCTGGCAGACAACGCCTCGATCGTAACCGCATTCTCGACGCATTCGACGGCGCGGCCCCGGCTGCCACATCGACACCGGGCCCCTTCCACGCCGTCGACCCATGTCTTCGGGATGCGCGAGAAGACCCCGCGTGATCCGCCAATCTCTCGGCAGCTAGCTTGCGGCAGCCCGCGGGGCAAAGAAACTTCGATGATGCCGTTAACATTGTCGGCCCCCATCTTGGCCCGAGCCCCACGGCCGCGCGACGTCCCGATTGGGGCGCTGGCCGTCCAAGCCGCATAACTGAGCCCAACCAAACGCGCCCGTCGGCACCGCAGGGACGACGACGTCCCACTGCCTGTCCTGAAGGAGCTGCCGGTTGTCGCGATTCTCCGCGTTCGTGACGTCGACCGCGCAGAGCTCAACGTGGACCTTCTCGTTGGGGCGCTGA